AAAAAAAAAAAAAAAAAAAAAAAAAAAAAAAAAAAAAAAAAAAAAAATTTTGTTATTGTTGTTTGTGCCTTAGGCGTCATGTCTAAGAAACCATTGCCTAATCCGAAGTTATGAGGATTTACTACTTTTCTTAAAAGAATTGTATACTTTTGCTCTTACCCTGAGGTTTCTGATTCATTTTGAGTCAAATTTTGTGTATGGTGTGACATAGGAGTCCAGTCTTCTTTTGCAGCTGTCCTAGAACCATTTGTTGAAAAGATTGTTCTTTCCCTGATGAATTGCCTTGACACATCCTTGTAGAAATCACTTGACCATAAATGTAAGGGTTGATTTCTGGACTCATAATTCTATTTCATTAATCTGTATTTTTGTCCTTATGCTGATACCATGCTGTCTTGATGACTGTAACAGCTTGGCTTTTTGTAACATCAAATCTGGTGTTTGTCCAAGTGTTTCTATGATTGTTGGGAAAATTATCTAGGTACAAAATAGCAGAAATGGCTAATAGCTGTTGTTCATGCAATGATAATAAGGCCCCATTGAGGCCATTTGCTGTCCTTTTCCTTCCTGGTGATGGAGTAAGCATTACAAAATCTTCTGTCTCCCTCCTTATTACATTAGAACTCTGTGTGTGTGTGTGTGTGTGCGTGTGTGTGTGTGTGTTTGCGCACGTGTACACGCAGTGTGTGTGTTTGTGTGTGTGTAAGAGAGAAAGGGAGAGGCAAGGAGAGAGGGAGAGAGAGAGTCAGCTCTGACCTTTGCCATAGATGCAACTTTTCTTTGTAATTTCAGTAATAGTCACACTTAGAGGCTCAGAGCAGGTCATTGGGTCCTGTTTGTCCTCCCAAGAGATGCTCGACACATTGGTCAGAGTGCATTAAGGGTGGTTTGGTGTGGAAGTCCTGTAATAGCCCTCACTGACCTTGGACTGGCTGTCAGGGGAAGCATGGGTTTTGGAAGCTTTCATAGCATTAATTGCCCCTAATGCACCATCATTTTTGACAGTAATAAGCTAAACAGGGGTGTTATTACTCCCAGCAGAAAGACTGCATTTCCTGGCATTAAAACATTTTTTGAGATGTATATGGCATGTGGTGCAGGCAAAGAAAGGAATAGCATGATCCAGTGTAAAGCAGGCTTAGCTGCACTTAAAGTGGAGAAATAAGTCCCTTTCCTATTGTAAAAACGAATCCTACAGTGTTGGTTAGAAGTAAGAAGCAGGTAATCAACAGGGATCCTACGCGGAACTCTTTAAAAGAAGGCTTTGGAAAAAGTTATGATTTTTATTTCTAAATTTGCTTTAAAAGAGTAGCATAAAAATGCTTTTCTTTTGAGTGTTTCCAGAGACCCATTTATAGTGAGATTTTAGGAGCTGAAGGATTTGTTTTAAACTGTTCCCTATTTAAGAACAGCCCTACAGTGTTTCTGTGCAACAAAGAAAGCTGTAACTTAGGAAACCTTTTAAAATTAGGGCTGAGAGCAAACCAAAAATGATGCAAGTTCACTGCGGCTTGCTTGCCCTTTGCTCACTCCATGTGTTTGCATTGTCTGGAGATGCTCAGGATGTCTTTAGGACAAACACGAAGCTGGATCCCGATTAGCAGGCCTTGGTGGCCAAGTTAGTGCTGAGAGTTTAGAGTCAGGATTCTAGGTGAAAACCTAAAAGCTGATGGCTTCCTTATCACTATCATTAGGAGACATTGAAGACCTTACACGTAATTTTTTTTTTTTTTTTAAAGGCAGAGTCTTGCCCTGTCACCCAGGCTAGAGTGCAGTGGCATGATCTCAGCTCACTGCAACTCCTGCCTCCCAGTTCAAGCCATTTTCCTGCCTCAGCCTCCCGAGTAGCTGGGACTCGCGCCACCACACCTGGCTGATTTTTTTGTGTTTTTAGTAGAGACAGGGTTTCACCATATTGGTGGGTCTTGAACTCCTGACCTCAAATGATCCGCCTGCTTCAGCCTCCCAAAGTTTCTGGCATTACAGGCACAAGCCACCATACCTGGCCTAGTTTGTTCTTTTTAATTGCTCCATAGTAATCAATAATATGCACATAGCATTCTTTGTTCAGCTAGTCTCCTGTTTATGGGCATTTCAGTAGGAAGATCACATTTACAAATTAAATGAATGAGTTCTTAAGAGAATGAGTTACAGAAATAACCAGGGAATTATCTAGTTAATGTTGATGAAGATTGCAGAGTAGTTAATTACAAAGACCAATTATTTTTATAGCTTGGAATACTGCTAATCCTCCTACCTCTCCCAAAATTGGAGGGCTGCTAAGCCCATCAGGCCTCCTCCTTATTCTTCTTGCTATGTATGGAATGTTTCCCTAGTTGGAGGCACCCATGGGCAGACTTGGGTCACAGTTCCTTCTCCTGTGCTTTCGTAGCACTTTGTACATCCCTGCATTAAAGCAGCAACCTGATTTATTATAATTACGGTTTGTATATGGGACAGGAAGGATTTCTTGCCATCTCTGTGTATTGCCTGCACCTAGGTGCTCCACATACTACAGGGAAAGTGTCCTCAGCAGGTGTCTGATCAAAGCTCTTGGGTACTTCTTTGCCTGAACTTTCCATTCCGGTTTGTCCTCCAATGGAAATTATGTCAGTGTCTGTCGGGTTGTGCTTTATGCAGGAAAGCTTGCTCTGGTTCTGAGCCCTGTATGACTTGTAACACAGTTAACTCAGCAGAGAACCCATAGAGCCAAAGTAGAGATTCCTAGCTCCTCCTTGGGGGCATCTATTCGGCCTGATGGACCATCTTCCCTCCTCCTCCACTGCCATAATTCACCCAGTTGCCTAGACTCAGTGACAGGCAATGCTGCTAAATGTAATCCTGCTAATAGGTGGCTATGTATTCAAAAGTAGATGGTAATATCCTTATAGCTTCTGGTAATAAATCTTTATAAATATAAATATAAATATATATATATATATATATATTTTTTTTTTTTTAAGCAAAACAGAACACCCCTATTCAACATGATAATTGAGGCTGTTGTCATAAAATAGTTATTATGGAGGCAGGAAAGAAGGCTGTTAGAAAGAATTACTTGATAGATATTTTTACCGCTTTTTAATTTTTCTTCTTTGGCCTTGATTTGAGGTTGTCACACCTCAATATTGACATTTTAGGAAACTGCCAAAGTTATCCTTCAATTATTTACCCAGCCCTTTATCTCTATTCCTTGATCCTGACTTAGACTATAAACCAGTGCATTTGGCAAGGATTTCCTTAAGTGTTACATTTAGACCTATCAAATATTTGGAAGGCTTGTAGATCTGTTTGCACATAAAAGTGCCTTGGGTTTGCATAATTTGCACATTCAAACTCGGATTTTAATTCAGAAATTTAACATGTTTTCTGTTTCTTTTGGATATTTACATTGATTTTAATCTAATTTTAAAATTTCTTATTTACTGGCATTAGCCCCTCTTAGTGAAGATGTTTATAAGGGACATATAAAATTCAGACACTGTAAGAGTCAACATGGATTGGTTTGTGCTTATAACACTCCTAATCTCAGTGGCTTAAAACAGCAAAGGTTTATTTTTTTGCCCATCTTTGCGCCAGGACCCCTGGCTGAAGGATCAAGCTCTGGATATTGTGTGCATGTCAGGAAAAGAGAGGAGAGACTCACACACTGATTTTTTTTTTTTTTTTTTTGGAGATGGAGTCTCGATCTGTAGCCCAGGCTGGAGTGTGCAGTGGCACGATCTCAACTCACTGCAACCTCTGCCTCCCGGGTCCTGGTTCAAGCAGTTCTCCTGCCTCAACCTCCCAAGTAGCTGGGATTACAGGCATGCGCCACCACGCCCAGCTAATTTTTGTATTTTTAGTAGAGACAGGGTTTCACCATGTTGGCCAGGCTGGTCTTGAACTCCTGGCCTTGTGATCCGCCAGCTTTGGCCTCCCAAAGTATTGGAATTACAGGCGTGAGCCGTCGCATCCGGCCTCATGCACTGATTCTTAAAGCTTCCACCTGGAAGTGACGCACTTCACTTCTTCCCACATTTCACTAGCCAAAGCAAGTTGTGGCCACACCTGACTCCATGGGGGCAGGGAAGTAGAATTCTACCACATGCCCAGAAGGAGAATAAGAAGTACCTGGAGAACAGTACAGGTAACTACACTGGCTGTCTAACAAGGAGGTGAAGTGTGTGGATTCTGAGTCAGAGTGCCTGAGCTCGAAACTGGCCTGATTACTTCCTCGAGGTCTGATTTTGAGCAAGCAGCTTCATCTCTCATCTTTTATTTCCTTATCTGAAAAGCAGTACCTTACAGAATTATGAGGATTAAATGAGATAGTCTTTACAAAGCCAGTGCCTTTCACATGGTAAGCACTCAGTAAATCCTAACTCTCATTAGAACTGAATTCTTACTGATTTGAATGAAAGGTACCTTATTTATTTTAAAGGACACATGAAAAGATTCACTTTTTTTCTTTTCCTTTTTCTTCTTCTATTTTTTTTTTAATGCATACCATCCATCCAAAGCCAGAAAAAGACAGGCCTCAGAATGGTAAAGGTTGGAAATATAACTGGGCTGGGTCAGTGTTACTATCATCCTTGACGACCCTTGTCCTAGGATTTTTTCCTGCCTTTACTCACTTTAAAGAAGAGAAAACTTGATATCTGCATGTGCATTCCTGTACACCCACCAGCTGACCTGGCAACTGTCTTCTCTATTTTCCTCTAGCTCAGAGTCAAGATCTCCACTGAAGTTGGCATCACAAATGTTGATCTTTCCACCGTGGATAAGGATCAGAGCATTGCACCCAAAACTACCCGGTAGGTGATATGCCACCTGAGCCCTCAGGGAGCTGAGGCTCAAGAGCTGAGAGGAGTATGCCTAGGCACTGAGCCCCTCCAGGCATCAGTTCTTGTCAGCAGCCATCCGGCTTGCACCCCAAATTAAAGAGGCTGTAGTTCTCTGGTGTAGGTCCTGCATCTAAGCGAGGCATCTAAGCGAATTTGGAAGTTGTCTATACAGTGTTTAGTCCATGCACAAACTGTTCATTACCAGTCCACAACAAAATAAGGCACTTACCTCAGGATGTTAGTCTGTCAGTCAGCTATGTCACTAGCACATTATTTAGTTCAAATGACAATTTTTAAAATAACAAGACCTTCTCAATGAAGGAAGCAAGGTATTAATTTACATTCTGGGGCAATCTCATCGTCGCAGTCCTGAATTTGCTTTTAGTGACCTGATGGCAGCTCTTTCTGGTCCATGGTGGGTCTGAAATTTGTTGGAAGCCTCCTAGGTGCTTAAAATTAAGATGGCAGATACCCAGCACTAGGGCTGTCGTTCCCTTCCCAGGTCCATAGAGGCATTACTAGTAAGTCATAGCATTTGCTCCCGCTGAACTCAGACGCAGCCTTAGAATCTTTTTAAACATAATCTTCTAAGTAGACACTAACAGTTGATTGGAGTTGGGCCAGAATGCTGTAAGAAGCCTGCTTATCAGCCCTTCCCCAGATCCTTATTGGTGCAGGGAGAATCTAGATATCTGGGTGTAGTCCAGACTCCAACTTTACTCAACTAGGATAGCTGTGGCCAGAAGACAGTAGGGTGAACCCTCAAGTCTTTTTGAAGATGGGATGTTAGCCAGAGGCTGGAAGCCAAGCAGCTGCTTCTTTTAAATCATGTAGAGTTGGCCTTTGTGTCTCTGGCTTGGCTATTTTTGTAGTGATATTGGAGATAAGAGCACTGTTTGAGAATCCACTGAAGTATTTATTGTCTGTGTGAGCGCTTTGTCATTTAACTCCCTGCACAGATGAAGAGTTGGTCTTACCAGTAAGTATAAAATGTGAGTATAAAATAGAGCCAGGTTTGAGCTCTATGAACATTTGACTGGTTTATCCCCTGGCCATCTTACCCTAAAATCCCAGCAGATAGCTGTGAGAAGTTTTCTTCATCAAGTCTGCCTTGTGGGAAAATGACTTTTCCCAAAATGAAGCCCAGTTTCAGCACAGAAAAATAAAACAGCGTCCAGGAAAAAAATAAGACATTAAGAAAAGAAAAAGCTGGAAGTACCCTTCTTTCTTTTGTATCTCCTACCCCCCGTCTTGACCCTGCTCATGTGTGCTGCTGGCATCAATCTTGTGATTATTTCTCCTTGTGGTTCTGCCAGCTCGACTCTCCTGTGTGCCTGCAGAGGCCACACGTGAGCTCCAATGGTGCCTGACTTGGTGGAGTTGAGAGCCTTAGGTCCTTGGAGTGAAAGCCCAGAGGTACAAGTGTCTGCACACAGCATTTCCCCAGATCCTGCTGAAAGTTTATTCTGCACTTTTCTCAGTCTGGGCTTTATCAGTCCAGTGTGCCCCCAGGCTGCAGCCAGCTCTCCACATCTGTCTGTCCATAACAGTGTTACTGTGAGAGAGGGAGGATCAGGGAATGAAGGGAAGTATGTCTTTGCCCGTTCTCAGAGATGTACTGATCCTCTCTGAAGACTGACTGTATAATGTTTCTTTCAGGGTGACCTACCCAGCCAAAGCCACGGGCACATTCATCGCAGACAGCCACCAGAACTTCGCCTTGTTCTTCCAGCTGGTAGATGTGAACACTGGTGCTGAACTCACTCCTCATCAGGTCAGGAAGATGCCCAGACAGTTCTCTTAACCTGAATGAAATACGAATGCTCACTAGAGTTTACAGTGTGTTCTGTAATAAGGACTAGAGAGAATTTCAGATTCCTGCTTTCAGATCTTGACTGAACCCTGACAGTGCATAAGGTTCTCTCACGTGACACTCTCACCCTTCTATCGATTGTAATCCTTCACCTGGAATACACATTTCTTTTTTAAAAATTAGCTGGTATTGAAAAGAGGTATTTAAGGCAGAGTCACACTGAATTAAGACTTTTTCTTTTTTTTTTTTTTTTGAGTTGGAGTCTCTCTCTGTCACCCAGGCTGGAGTGCAGTGGCATGATCTCAGCCCACTGCAATCTCTGCCTCCTGGGTTCAAGCGATTCTCCTGCCTCAGCCTCCTGAGTAGCTGGGACTACAGGCGTGCATTCCCACACCCAGCTAATTTTTGTATTTTTATTAGAGACAGGGTTTCACCATGTTGGCCAGGCTGGTCTCCATCTCCTGACCGCAGGCGATCTGCCTGCCTCATCCTCCCAAAGTGCTGGGATTATAGGCATGAGCCACCTCGCCCCACCTGAGGCTTTTTCTTTCTGATTAAAAGGAATATACTGGCCAGGCGTGGTGGCTCACACCTGTAATCCCAACACTTTGGAGGCTGAGGTGGAAGGATCACTTGAGCCCAGGGGTTGGAGACCAGCCTGGGCAATATGGTGAGACCTCATTTATTTGTACAGGGAGGAAGGGAGAAAGGAAGGGAGAACCTCATATGGCCTGTGTCCACTCAGACACCCGCACTCCCACACTGCCTGTCACCCCCCTTGATTGAGAATATCCTGCCTTTAGTGTTATGTGAAGGAAGATTCACATAAATACTTTGAATGCTGAAAGACAAGCATGTGGGACCTAGTTTGGTGTAGGGTACCCTGTACTGATGCTTTAGCAAGAACCAGCAGGCTAGTTGCCTTGAGGCAGCTTCAGGGCAGACCTCAGAGGCAAATGGATTTCCTTGGGCACCTTCTTGCTTTCTGTTTCCTGCAGCTGCAGCTGTTGTTGCATTTGTGCCCCAGGAGCATGCTCCTCTAGGGCTACGGTCCCAGGAGTCCCCTGCTCCTCTCTCCTCCCTGCTCCTAAACTCCAGACAGCTTGGCTAGGGCCCTTAGCCAAGGATAACTGACCTTTGAGTACTTCTGTCTCTTAGCATTCCCCAGCTTCTTCCCAGAATGACATTTGCCAACCTAATAGCTTAATGGAAAGAAGAAAAGAAATTAGAAGACGAAATTAGTAGGATTAAGGTTAGAGCAGGGAGAGTTAGTGAGGAAATGTAACTTCAACTGAATACTTGTTTCCTGCAAGATTCTGTTTTAGAATCATGGCTTAGAGACCTTCCAGGTGGAGATGGCATTTTGGGGATGAACGTGGCAGATGCCTGCACTTGACTCTGATAGGAAGGAGATCTGGCATCTGGACTCCCAGATTCCATTCCTGTCCAAGAGTAATTGCTATAGTTGGGGTGCTTCATATCTCTGGGCCCCTTTGCCTAAATGCTTTGGTGATTGTTCTTTGTTGTTCAGGTACAGAGTAACAAATGAGATGTATGTTTTCTGTAGATGCAGTGCTGGCTCTGTCACCATGCAAACTCATTTAATGCTTGTGCTTTATGATCTGTAAATTGGATCTGTCAACCTACCTGCCTTGTTGAATTCTTTATTTTGAAACACCTGAGCCGAGTGCAGTGGCTCACGCCTATAATCCCAGCACTTTGGGAGGCTGAGGGGCGGATCACCTGAAGTCAGGAGATTGAGACCAGCCTGACCAACACAGAGAAACCCCATCTCTACTAGAAATACAAAATTAGCTGGGCGTGGTGGCGCATGCCTGTAATCCCAGCTACTTGAGAGGCTAAGGCAGGAGAATTGCTTGAACCCTGGAGGTGGAGGCTGTGGTGAGCCACGATTGTGTCATTGCACTCCAGCCTGGGCAACAAGAGTGAAACTCTGTCTCAAAAAAAGAAAGAAAGAAAAGCTCTGGGTGGATATAAAGTTTTGCCCCAGTTCTGTTTTTTTTTTTTTTTGTTTTGTTTTTTTTTTTTTTGGAGACGGAGTTTCGCTCTTGTTACCCAGGCTGGAGTGCAATGGCGCGATCTCGGCTCACCGCAACCTCCGCCTCCTGGGTTCAGGCAATTCTCCTGCCTCAGCCTCCTGAGTAGCTGGGATTACAGGCACGCGCCACCATGCCCAGCTAATTTTTTGTAGTTTTAATAGAGACGGGGTTTCACCATATTGACCAGGATGGTCTCAATCTCCTGACCTCGTGATCCACCCGCCTCGGCCTCCCAAAGTGCTGTCCAGTTCTAATATACAGACACCTTAGTTTCTTGTGCCATTTGGGGAGATAAAGTGATTAGACTTCAGTACTATTGTATTGCTATAACTACTGTTTGTTGACTAGCTAGTAAATACCATGCCCTGCACTAATGCTTTGTATACTGTATTGCAAATCTTCACACAGATATGCCACATCTGAAAGTTAATTTTTCTGCCTTCAAGTTGAAGAAATCAAAGCATAAGGTGGTTAAGTAACTTGCTCGGCTAATAAGTAGTGGAAGCAAATCTGTCTTCCAAGCCGAGGCTCTCTCCATGACACTGGCTGCTCTGCTTGATTAGAACTCTGCCTTGCTATCAATACCCAAGGCTCCTCTACTAAATCTTTAGCTGGAGGCACTAGGAAATTAAAAATGGGCCTCTTGCAGTTCCACCTCATTTCCCTTCTTTTCACCCTCTGGTGAAGCAGTTAATTGGGCAGCAAAGTGACCAAAAGGCTGCCAGGAAAAAGAAACTGCAGCAATAGCAAAGGGCTTAAATCATCCACAAACCGGGCATTCAGCCTCCAACTAGACGAGAATTGGCTGGATCAGTAAGTTAAATTTTCTTCCTTGTACCAGCAAAAAGTTACCTCTGAGCTAGGAACTAGGGTGGCATGGCTACTCCGTCTACTCTCGGGCAGGTCTGGCAGATCCCAGAACTCGCGCCGTGACAAAGAGCTAACTGTCTGCTGCCTGGTGGATTCAGTGTTGGGCCCAGGCGGAGTTTTGAAGTTATCAGATGAAAGGTTGTATTATTCTTCCATCTAGACGTTTGTCCGACTCCATAACCAGAAGACTGGCCAGGAAGTGGTGTTCGTTGCCGAGCCAGACAACAAGAACGTGTACAAGTTTGAACTGGATACCTCTGAAAGAAAGATTGAATTTGATTCTGCCTCTGGCACCTACACTCTCTACTTAATCATTGGAGATGCCACTTTGAAGAACCCAATCCTCTGGAATGTGGTATGTGCCTGAATGCACCCCCAGGTGAGAGTGGCTGTGCCCCAGGCACTGGTGGCTCCTTTTCAGGGGCATGGGGCTCTTCACCTTCGCCTTGCCTGTACCTCCTAAGTGCGATAAATAAGCTTGGGAGGCGAGGCACTGTGTGCAGGCTCCATAGATAGTCCTGGGGTCATGCACGTGGCTTGGCAGCATGGTAGGTGCTTAAAAATTTTAAGTGAATGAAGGAAGGATAAAACTGTGAGTGCTTGTATCTGTTAATTTCTATATACGTTATATAGGAAGGTGGTTTTCATACTATAGCAAGGCACTATGGGGGTTACATAGATGTGAAAGTTAAGGCCCTGGCCTGAGAGAGATAGCATAGCTCATGGGAGCGATGAGATCTGAATTCTGGTAATAATTCAGGATGATGTAGAAAAGTGAATTGTACAATGTGCAAAATGCTAATTAACTAATAACCAACATTTGTATAGCATGTTGTCGTTTACATAATGCCTCCCTTCATGCCCCACTTTGGATTGGTGTGATGAGAGTAAACGTCTTGCAAGACAGGGCATTAGAGCAGGGGGTTGAAGAATGGCAAGGGTTTATCAGATCTGGGGCTATGGGGTGATTGTTGAGGAACAGCTTGCAGAAAAGCTCAAGGTGCTTACAGTGCAGTGGGAGCCAGAGCACCTGAATCCTGTCAAAAGCAGGAGGTGATGAGCTTGGAAGGGTAGCAAAGGCCAAATCGCAGGCTTTGAATGGTGATTGACTCACTTGTATTCGAGGCTTCTTTTCTTCTCCCGGACTTCGGGCTGTTTTTGTATGAGAGTGTGTACTCATTTCTTTGTCTTGTTTTTAAAATATTACTAAATTGCACTTCCAGGGACACCAAGCAGTTTCTGATTGCAACTTTAACAGCCTGTGTACCAGCTGGGATTTTTGTATTAAGCAGATCTATGGGGCTACTAAACCAGTAGAAAATTAGAAGTCTTGCTCTAAAAAGCATTTTCAACAAATACTTGTTTTGTTCTTGAAATTTTTACTGCCTCAATTTGTCAACTAATGTATCAGAAGTGATTGGACTTCCTGGAGTTTTTTTCAGTTATGGTCTTAGACATGAGTCGGAGAATATTATCTATTGAGTTTCACCCATTTCTCTGCCCCTGTGCCTTTAAAGACTGTCCTTATTTTTCTAGGCTGATGTGGTCATCAAGTTCCCTGAGGAAGAAGCTCCCTCAACTGTCTTGTCCCAGAACCTTTTCACTCCAAAACAGGAAATTCAGGTATATCCCAAAGGACTTATCCACTAAACACGGGGGAGAAGAGAGGGCAGCAAAGCCCTGGACTGTGGCTCTGCTCCCTTTAGCTTGTTTTCATGATATTTTATAGTTTGATCCTCACACTCTGTGGATTAGGCAGGGTAAATGCCAGCCCCGTCCTTGAACTGAGCAAACAGGTTTAAAGAGTCCAGCGACTAACCCGCAGAGTTGGAGATGAAATGAGAACCTGAGTCTGGTTTTCCTGACATCCAGCAGGTTCCACCCTCCGACCACAGCATGTTAGCCATGAGCACAGGTGGTTTTAGGGTTTATTCTCCCTGCTGCTGCATACATCAGGGCTGATGGGGTGACAGGTGGGAAAACTCACCTGGGAGAACAGGGCTGTCTCTACTTCCTCATTCAAGTCCTTGGATAGGCAAGCCTGGTCCTGCCCTGCACACAGGACTGTTGTGAGAATCAAAGTTGATGACAGACGAGTAAAGAAAGGTTTTGAAATGTTGCTAAAGCCCTTTACAAAATAAACACAATAATTGTTGAACACTTAGGTACTGGTTAAGGAAACAGGTGGATCCATTCAGTGGACAGTTTTGCAATCTTGAGAAATGATCATACTTGGAAACCTACGTATGAATTAATGTTGAAGTGTTGAAAACTATAGACTACCTGCTGTCATTCCCTTTAAAAAAAAAACAAAAAAAAAAACAAGTGCCCAAAGGGTAGAGTAGTGGGATTGTTTTTAAAACTCCTCTTCATGTTGCTACAGCATTATTTAAGAATGTAAAATGCAGCTCACTGTTAGGTGTAATTGTGATGATGAAGAACGCTGGCTGATTTGTAGGGTGAAGTAGGTGGCAGCAGCTGCTACAGTGTTAGAAATCCTTTAATGGCAGTGGCAGCAAAGAAGAACAGAGGTGAAAATTTAGGAACAGGAGGCTCAAGTGGGGCTGCCTCCTCATGGAGCTGGGGAGGCTGGGCATTGGCAAGCAGAAAAGACAGGCACGAGTTGATATATTGGAGGAAAAACCTTTTTTAAAAAGTTCTGTTTGCATAATGAGTTACAGCTTATAAGGCGTAATCAAATGCCCTATTTCATTTGGTCTTTAGAGTATCTTTACAAGTCTAGCAGGGTGGTCATGGCCCTCCCCACCCCCACTTTTCCAGCTGGAAACTGAGGTAAAGAGTGACAGCGACTTGCCACCTGGTCGCACAGCCATACATACCAGTTTGGGCCTAAACAGAGGTCTCCGGACGCCCACACCATTGCTGCTTCTGCTAGGCCACACTATCTAGGTGAGCTTCGCAAAGAGAATTCATATAGAATTGCTCAGGAGAAAGAAACAAAACCAAGAAATATCATCAGCATGTTTGTCCAGCCTTCTGGTTTAACAAAGGGTTTTTGGCTAAGCAGTGAGCTGAGGCTAATGCAGTGTCTGTGGAAGGAGACCTCTGGCATCAGAAGCCAGGATTGGGAAGAGGCAAAAGGCCACGTGGCCACTTGCTGCCAAGAGGTTTTAGCCTCTGGGTGGCATATCCTCTTTACAACTGATGTTGATGCTTTGGTCCCTGGTATACATGGCCGCCCCAGATGGGAAGGGCACATTCTGAAGTCTTCTTGGTGTGTCTTTCGGCAGCACCTGTTCCGTGAGCCTGAGAAGAGGCCCCCCACCGTGGTGTCCAATACATTCACTGCCTTGATTCTCTCGCCGTTGCTGCTGCTCTTTGCTCTGGTGAGTGGCGGTAATTAGCATGGGCAGCGTGTGTCTGGCGCCAGACCCGGCAGATGCAGCCCTTCCAAAGGAGGCTGTGTTGTCTGGCCTCAGCAAAAGCTCCAGAGGGGTCCAGCAGCTGTGACCTGAACTGATGGTCAAGACGTTTTAGAATGACCAAAAGTTCCCACTGTGAAGGAGCAGCCAAATAAACTGCCCCATTAACAAGTGGGCATGAGAAGGTACCTAACAGACACTAAGAATAACAAAAGTGGATGGACCGTGATGCTGTAAGAAGGTTCAGATGAGATCTAGTGTGAACAGAGCGAGGCCCGATGCTGATAGCTATGAAAAATAGCACAGAGGCTGTGCATTTCAGCACTGCTTGGGGCGGAAAACCGGAAACAACCTAAAGTTCATACGATGGAATAATACGCAGCTTTTCAAAGAATGGGTAGATGTATATACTGATAGGACAAGATTGCCAAGATGTGTTACTGAGTGAAGAAGGCAAGGGGTAGGGTAGTGTGTTTAGTAGATCCTCTGTAAAGTTTTAAAAGGTGGCTGGGTGCCGTGGCTCATGCCTGTAATCCCACCACTTTGTGAGGCCAACGTGGGAGGATCGCTTGAGCTTAGGTGTTTGAGATCAGCTTGGGCACATAGCGAGACCCTGTCTCTATTAAAATTAGAAAATTAGAAAAAATAAATCAGTGGTGATGTGCGCTTGTAGGCCTGGCTGCTTGAGGGGCTGAGGTGAGGCTGCAGTGAGCCCTGCACTCTTAATCTGGGCGACAGAGTAAGACCCTGTCTCAAAACAAAATTTAAAAGTTTTACAAGGCGCTATGTGTTAGTGTCGGCCATCTCTGAGGAGAGGACATTCTGGAGAATACGAGGAAGCAACTTTTACCGCTTCTCCTTTTTAGTACCATTTGAAATTTTTTTTTTTAGCCAATTGTGTTTTTCTGTTTCTTTTTTAAAATTATAAACAATCATGAATGCATATCAAAGCTCAGAGAATTTTGAGAAAAAACTCATTAGGTCTTTTGGAAAGTTGCCTGTGTTCCTATTTAATTTATTGATTTTAATAAAAATAACTGTTTAAATCTAGTGGCCTTGCTACAGGTTTTCAGAAACCAGACCTAGGGTATGGGCACCTGCTCTTATATTTGAGTGATGAGAATTTCAGAAGACATGGAACCCCCAGCAAGAGCATGAATGCTGCCAGCTGCCAGCAGGTTTATCTCACCAGTTCTTAGAGAACTTAGGGGGGTGTCAGTTACCTTATAAATGCAGTTTCTGACCTTTCAGCTTCATGGTCTCACCTGTTTTTTGTCATCATTAAAAATGCTGTTCGGGTTTGAGTTACACGAGCCCATTTGAGAGCAGGTGCTGCATGCCTTTCTAAAGAAAGGGAACAGGTTTTCTCAAGGGCTTATAAGAAGGCGGTTGTCACTTGGAAGAATTTCCTGTCCTTCTAGGATGCATGAACTTTTAAGCCCTGAGTCTGTTGATTGGATTAGCATTGGCGTGACATGTGTTGCCTCCCTTTGAAGTTCTAATGCCTTTTTAATTTATTTCTCCCCATCATTCAGTGGATCCGGATTGGTGCCAATGTCTCCAACTTCACTTTCGCTCCAAGCACGATTATATTTCACCTGGGACATGCTGGTAAGTGCCCCAGGCTGCTAATTCCATTTAACCTCCTCTGACATTTAGCTTGCCCACGCTAAAGCCCAGTTAAGTAGACCTACAACCTATTAACTGTAATGACTTAATAGCATAACATTTCCCTCTTCCTTTTGGCCTTTCAGGACAGTTAATATGATGGTAAACCTGTTTGGTCCATCACTTAGAACAGCTGTCATTATATTGGGCTTCCGTTGTACTGCTGTACTGTTGACAGACCATTTACCCTCAGTTAATAACCCTGTTCTTTTCCAGAGATTACTCACTTATCGTATCTTTACACTGAGCCATCTTCCTGGATGAAGAGCATTAATGCAGTTTCCAAAGGTTATCTTTCCCCACCATATCGATCTTCACATTTGCTGGCAGCTCTGTCTGTGCAGTAATAGAAAACAGTCCTTTCTACACTACAGCGTTGTTCTCTGGAGACTTTAGGACCTCAACAGCCTAAACATAATGAGACAGTAAATTCACAAATCACTTAAGCATTTCTGAGGCTTTTGATGCTATTGGATCAGGGGTACCTTGCATTTCACTTCGACTTTAATATTTCTTGTTTTTTTTCTGAGACAGGGTCTTGCCCTGTCACCCAGGCTGGAGTGCAGTGATGCAATCATGGCTCACTGCAGCCTTGATCTTCCAGGCTCAGGTGATTCTCCCACCTCAGCCTCCAGAGTAGTTGGGACTCCAGGCATGTGCCACCACACTCGGCTAATATTTGTATTTTTTGTAGAGACAGGGTCTTTCTGTATTGCCAGACCTGGTCTTGAACTCCTAGGCTCAAGCAGTCTTCCCACCTTTGCCCTCCCAGAGGTGTGGGCTACCATGCCTGGCCTGACCTTAATATTTTAAAAATTATTTGCCTTTTTCAGGAGTCACCCTCTGTGTGCCCGTAGTAAACAGATTCTGTAGGGGTGCATAGATGAATCCCTTGAAATTCTAGGCAAATGTCTGTGTTTTCTAGGGAAAGAGAGTTGTGACTTTGATCAGATTATTATGGTGCAGTGGTCCGTGACCTCAAAAATGGTTAAGATCCCCTACTGTAGTTTATCCGTCATCCACCTGGGCAAAACTGACAGGATGACCTTTCTCTCTAGCTCAGTTACTGGATTTGAATGATAGCCCTCTGGGGTCAGACTGAGAACAAAACCTGAATATAGATTTGATGAGAGGCATAGCTTTTCCTGCCAGAGTGTTTTTCGTGTATGTTTTCTCATTTGATTCTCATCATAAGCCTGATGAGGCTGACTGGGGCAGGAATTATGATCCCTTTTGACAAGGTGGGAGAATTTGGGCTCAGAGAAGTTAAGTGGCTGGTGAGGGCAGAGCCTGGACCAGACCCCAGGGCTCTCTGTTCCCAGCTCTGACTCCTTTTCACTCAGCCTTCTTCCTGGCTCTTCCTTGCTCCCTTTCTGGTCACAGTGGCAAATTATCCTTACAGGTTTTTTTTTTTTTAGAGACGGAGTCTTGATCTGTCTTGCCTAGACTGGAGTTCAGTGGCACTATCTTGGCTCACTGCAGCGTCTGCCTCTGCCTCCCAGGTTCAAACAATTTTTCCACCTCAGCCTTCTGAGTAGCTGGGATTATAGGCATGCGCGGCATGTGCGGCATGCGCACCATGCCTGGCTAATTTTGTATTTTTAGTAGAGACGGGATTTCACCATGTTGGCCAGGCTGGTCTCGAACTCCTGACCTCAGGTGATCCACCCACCTTGGCCTCACAAAGTGTTGGGATTACAGGTGTGAGCCCCTGTGGCTGGCCTATTTATATCCTGTGTATTTTTGTTAAGAATTTGAAAAATGAAATGAATCCTAACTATAACATGACAGAAGTTTTAAACAAAAGCAGAGAAATAGATGTAAGCGGGAACATAGCACAGGTCACTGAAGTTCAGTTGTTACCCCTGGGTTTTCTTATGTGTGTGTGTGGTTTTTTTTGTTTTTTTGTTTTTTGTTTTTTGGTTTTTTTTTGAAACAAGGTATGACTGTCACCCAGGCTGAAGTACAGTGGCGTGATCAAGCTCACTGCATCGCTGACCTCCTGGGCTACGGTGATCTTCCCACCTCAGCCTCATAAATAGCTAGGACTACAGACATGGGCCATTACACCTGACTAATTTTTAAAATTTTAGTAGACAGGAGGTCTCGCTGTGTTGCCTAGGATGGTCTTAAACTCCTTAGATCAAGCAGTTCTACCTCAGCCTCCCAAAATGCTGGGGTTACAGACGTGAGCCGCTGTGCCTGGCCACCCCTGGATTTCTTGGTGGCCACAGCTGAGAGACAAGTCTATTAAGTTAGTTACATTTTGGCATCAGAGCAAAGGAACGAAACAAGCTGGCCCAGGACTGCAAATCTTTTCATGATCCAGCAGTTGCTGCCCCTAACTCTCCTCAACCCCAGGGAATCGTTAGTGTTTCGCTTAATTGGATGTCGTGGCACCTCTTCCTGCAGCTATGCTGGGGCTCATGTATGTCTACTGGACTCAGCTCAACATGTTCCAGACCTTGAAGTACCTGGCCATCTTGGGTAGTGTGACGTTTCTGGCTGGCAATCGGATGCTGGCCCACCAGGCAGTTAAGAGGTAAGGCTGGACGTGGGCCCGGGATCTAGAGAAGGGTTAGAATTACTCCACTCTGCCAGCCTGGTTCTTTAAATGGTAGGAGGCAAAATGGTTTGTGTTCAAGTGTGACACTTTAACTTAGCCCAGTACAGAAGCCATAAGCACTCTGAAGTCAGACAAGGGCCTTAGTGATCAGCTTTGAATGTATTAAAACCATAGTAATTTATGACCCAGTACAATAGAGTGAGAGAGGAAAAGAATTGCTTTATGAAGATGAAATGTATTAGTAGATGTGGCAGAAGATTAATTCGTTAGCTGTGCAAAAATTCTTTGCTGCCACAGAGAATCCTGCCCTGCCCTGCACCCCCTACCCTCAACACGTCCCCGAGAGTTGCTCCTCGGTAACCCCTCACAGCTCAGGAGCTTGTCCCCAAAGCACGGGGTCTGTGTTCTTCCCCACAGACGCTGCAGCAGGTTTTGCCGAGGCTCCCAGCAAGGAGTATCTCCTCAGTAGCCTGTGCTACCTGCCTGGGACCTAGACAACCTTAGAGTCACACAGATGGACAGACCTTGACGTGAGGGCAGCTTGCTGGCAGCTTGACTTTTCGAAACAGAATTGGAGGCAAATTTAAATGTCACAAAGGTGTTTCTCATTGATTTGACTTTATTAGAACCTGAGTGATTTCAGGCATGCAAAGTCCAATAAGAAAAGGTCAGAATTGCTTTTACCTTTGGAAGAAATCATTTTCAGATGTGCTGCTTTCTTCTATCCAGGACGTTTGCTGGAAGAATGTAACTCTATAGTGTACCCTCAGTGTGGCTGCCAGTTAGGTTGCTAGGATCAGAGAGAGGCTTTTTCAGGGAGACCATCAGTGGGTGGGAGAAGATGTCTCATCTCCGCCAGAGTCTCCATTGTGAGCTTTCTAAGCACTCCGCTGTGGAGACTCGGCACAGGCACGTTCCTTGGCTTTCCTGTAGGAATCCAGGGCCCACCAGAGCTTCCCTTAGCACCAGAAGTGGCAGCTGGTTCATTGTTCCACCCTGCAGTAGCCTTTTCCTGGTGGCTGTGCATTGTACCTGGGAAAGATCCGGGACTTTGTTGTTTTTACAAAACAGAACACTGTTCCCTTTGGTGCCTGGGCCCCCAGGGAGCCAAAAGATTGTGGTCTGCTAAGTTCTCTCTTTTCTAGAAGTTGCCCACTCAAGAAGAATGAAATCTGCCGGGCATGGTGGCCTATGCCTGTAATCCCAGCACTTTGGGAGGCTGAGGCGGGAGGATTGCTCGAGCTCAGGAGTTCGAGACCAGCCTGGGCAACATAGTGAGACCTCGTCTCTAAAAAATATATATATATATAAATGAAAAATAATAACAAAGACGAGAATTGGGTAGAAACCGTTTGGTTTACATCCTACTTAGCAGGAGTTCCTAGTTTGGAATCCTAAAGTTGTACGCATTTTCTGGGGAGAGAGACCATGGCTTTTATCAGAATCCCAGAAGGATCAGTAACTCCTTCCTCTCCTCTACTCATGTATCCCATTCAAAAGCTTAAAGCCCACTCTTCTGTGGCCCTCCTTGTGAGTCCTAATGGAAGCTCTGGTTGGGTGTTTGTCATTTCTTTCCTCAGCTGATTTCTCCTCACTGTCCTTTCTTGATTCTCAAACCCTCTTTCCTTTGGCAGGATCGCTGCAGAGCAGAGCAGTAGATTGGCAAAATATAGGACACTACGGTAAAGATGAAGGGTGGACTCATCCCAGAAGCAGGTTCCCTTCCCCTTCTTACCCACCTCATGCATGTCAGTTATCTTTCTAGTTTTCAGCCCACTTGCTCCTCCCACCCCTCCCTAAGCCACAGCCGAATTCTGAAGCTGTTTTGCACCTTGCTAGATAAGGTTGTGACTGGACCAGGGCAAAAGCTTCCTGAGTTAGCCCAGCTGATGGGATAACTTTGCAGTGAGTAGCTTTGGCCTGGCTTTGACTGTATAAGACTTCATTCTCCCTGTATCCCATGGTGTACTTTATAAGACAGTCCTCTCTCTCTGTTTCCAAGAGAGCTGAGATGAGGACAAGAAAAATCCAAAATTCATTAAATGATGGTCCCATGGCAAATCCTGGCACACCTTGTCACTGTTTCTAGACTTTTTGTAACATCAGTCTCTAGTTGAGCCCAACACTGTGGTTTGGGGAGACTGTAAATTCCGAGGGACTGATGGCCACAAATCAAAGCCAGCATCAGAATCCAGGTTCCTAGCACTCAGGGTATGTTAAAAGGGCTGTTCCCCATGAAACTAAAATGTGAAGTGAAATCTCACTCATGCTCCTTCTGCATACCAGTCCTAGGATGGGAGGGAAGTGGAGGGAAGGAGAGGGAGTATCGAATGCTTCATTGATCTGCTCCTCTAGACTAGGGGCTGGCAAAAGTTTTCTGTAAAGAGCCAGATAATATTTTAGGCTTTACTGGCCATATGGTCTCTTGGCACCAACTACTCCATCACTGTCATGTGAAGGCAGCCATAGGCTGTATAAACAAATGGGTGTGGCTGTGTTCCAATAAAACTTTCTTCTCTAAGACAGGTGGTGGGCTGGATTTGGCCTGAGTGACAGTTTGCTAACCCCTGTCCTAGACCAACAAAGGGAGGGAGGTATTTGAATTTTCAAGTCATGTTCTCTTTTATCCTTTGCCTTGGAAATGGCTTTCCCTGCCAAAGCCAGAAAGCCATCTAATTTCTAATCCTCTGAAAATAGTAGAGATCAACAAAAGCGTAGGATTTAGAGCCTTTCCAGGGATGTGTGAGCGTAAGCTGGGTCACCTAGTCCCCAACACAGAAGGGAACTGCATTTGTTTTATTAGCTTTTTTTCAGGTTTAATTGAGGTGTAATTTATCTGCAGAAAAATTTACCCTTTTTAATGTACAATTCTGTGAATCCTGAAAAACCTATATAGTCACGTAACCACCACCTCAATCAAGATATCGATATTGCCACACTCCAGAGAGTTCCCCTGTGCCCCCTTCAGAGTCAGTCCCTTCTCCCACCCCCATTCCCTGGCTATGCCCATTTGGTTCTATCATAAATTATAGTCACTCTGTCTGAGATGTGCTTTCAGAGTTAGTCCTTTCTGCTAAATACTGAGTTCTCTAATTCTTTAAATAACTCAGTTTTTTTTCTCGATTAAAAAAAATTTTTAGTAGAGTTGGGGTCTTCTGTAAGTAGATGAGAAAAGAAAGATAAAAAAGAGAGAGAGAGAGAGGGAGAGAGAGAGATGGGGTCTTACTATGTTGCCCAAGCTGGTCTCAAACTCCTGGGCTCAAGCAGTTCTCCTGCCTTGGCCTCCAGAAGTGCTGGGATTATAGGCGTGAGCAACCTTGCTTGGCCTCTTGATTTCTAAAGTCTGTTTCCGCTCTGCTATCCCCAGATCACTGCTTGAGGGAGAGGAAAGTCCCTTGATCATTTGGACATTTGGCACTTCCTAGTGTTGGAAAGGAAACCCCTGTTAGCAAAGTGCTCTTGATCCAAGGGCAGACATTGATTTGAGCAGACATGGGACATAAGTTCGTAGCTACAGTCGAGGGTTGTGGGCCACTACCCTTCAGCTGTTCTTATTTCATACTTGTGCTATCCTTTCTGCATGAACATTTCTGAATGTACACGTTTTAGTGTACCTAGGAACCTCTGAATATTGGCAAGGAATTAGGGGTGCACAACCCAGCCCTCAAGATTAATCCCATGCCTGTGCATGTCTCTTGGAACTGCTTTATAAATGGGTTTGGAGCCTGCCCTTCTGCAAGACTCCGTCATCATCATCTCAGTCCTCACCCCTGGGAAGAGCTGCCCCTGAAGGATGGTGTGTGTGTCGGCAGCCCTGCCTCTGCCTGCTGGAGCCTGCTGGAATCGCTTACTCACAGCAGTCACCTCCTCAGCTGCACAGTGTGTCTAGATTGTCCTTTTCATTCATTGTGGTTCCCATCCCTCCTTAGAGCCTAGGGAAAGGCAGCGGAGGGGAAAAGAAGAATACAGGAGATAGGTTTTTATCCCCTTTAACATTTTCTGTGAGCTGAGTCCCATTTTTGAGAATGTTTCTATGTTAGGTTAGAGGCTGCGTGTGACTTGGCAAGGTCCCGGCCACACAGCAGGAATGTGCAGATTGGTGTAATGAATGGTCAGGATGTCATCTTCCAAGCTACAGAAGGGCCACTTGTTGGTTGGCAGAGCTGGAGTCTGGGAGATTGAGGACAAGCATTCTTTAAACTTTCCTCTCTGTTCATCTAGTTGAAATTTACACTCTGTTTTTGGCCTTGCACTGTGAGAGGTGTGCCTGGAATTACCTCATCTCCGTATGTTGTCACATACCACTATCTTAGTTATTATCGAGTTTGTTTTGTTGTTTGTATTTAAGTCGTCATTAGCTTAATTATGAACTAGTTGTCTTACATTCTTTTGTAAAATGAGATGGGGCATAAATAGAATCGGTAAATGATTATTCCCTTATAAATGGGATCTTATCGCAGGAGAGTACCTTGGTCTCCCTGTTGTCACCAGTTAGGAGCTGTAACAGTGAACTGAAACCGTCAATAATTTTGTGTTTGTCTCCATTTTTTTTCAGAACAGCACATTAGTTCCAGACGAAGGATGGAAATCCCGAAAACTGAATGTCAAGAAAAGGAGTCAAGAACAATTCACAGTTTGAAAAGAAAAATGGAAAAAAAAAAAAAAACACTATTTAAAAAGGAAACAGTCAAGATTGTAGTTGACTTTTGCTTGTTGTTTTTCAGTTTCCCCAACACAGAACAGATACCTGGTGAGCTCTGATAGTTTCTTTCTTTGGCACTGTGCGAGATGCTGTGAATATTCCTAACTACCCAGATGTTGCATCTGAAAAGTTGAAATGTATAATTGTTTTGGAATAAAGTGGTTGATAATAGGAACAAAGGCCCGATTGAGAGCTTATTCTAGTACTTTGGGTGGTGGGGTCCTTGGGTATATAACATGACAACTGATTTGGAAATGCTGTTGATGCCGGTGTATTTCTTCAGGCCTTTATACATTGGTCCTTCTTGCCCCTTTCCTAAGAGAACTGAGAACTGCCTGGAAAGGCCAGCTTCCTTTCTTCTCCAGCAGTGAGCACGAGCTGTCTGCAGAGGAGCCCTGTTGGTATCTGAAGGCCCCACTTGTAGCAGCAAGGACCTCTGCTCAAGGCCTTTGTCTTGGGGCTAGGTGTGGTAGCTCACATCTGTAATCCCAGCACTTAGAGAGGCTGAGGTGGGTGGATCACTTGAGGTCAGGAGTTTGAGACCAGCCTGGCCAACATGGTGAAACCCCATCTCTACCAAAAATACAGAAATCAGCCGGGCATGGTGGTGTGCGCCTGTAATCCCAGCTACTTGGGAGGCTGAGGCAGGAGAATCGTTTGAACCTGGGAGGCAGAGGTTGCAATGAGCCGAGATTGCGCTATTGCACTCCAGCCTGGGAGACAGAGCCAGACACTGTCTCAAAAAAAAAAAAAAAAAAAAAAAAAAAACTGATGCATGGGGATTTCGATGCAATGTGAATTTTCAAGGGACGCAAATTCAGACCAGAGCACTGACCACTTGAGTTACTTTAGGTTAAAAGGCCACAACCGTCTCAAGAATGCCCCCTTTGAAGTTGTGCCCTAGGGCGACCATATTACATATATTACATGAGGTGATATAATAGCACGTAGAGAAGTAATACTGCGTAGCGTGGCTGACTGCGTAGACTTCGGTGCCAGACAGACCTAGTGTTGCCACTTACTGGGGTGTGGGACCTTGGGCAAGTAGTTTGACTTCCGTAAAGCTCCTTTTGTGCTTCTGTAAAAGTGAGGAGATAACTACCTACCTCATAGGAGTAAAGGAGTTGAATGCTGACGCATCTTAGTGCTGGGCGTCTTTCCCGATTGACCTACAGTTATGTGCCTTGGCCCATTGCCCCCAGTTCTAGAATGGCAAAAACTGCAATTCCTTTGCACCAACCTAGTGAAACATGATACGTTTAGTTCACTTTTGAAATATGGTAATCATAGTATTTATTGAATTGGGGGGCTAGAGTTGTTTTATTTTAATCAGATTGCTTTCCAACCTAGTTGGATCTTACTACAGTGAAGAAATTGGTATTTTGATTGGGGAAAGGGGAAAGAAGATTCTGGAACTCTATGCTGGTTCTGAATGGGATCCTACAGGTGAGAGGATGATGTGGGCTGTTATAGGGATGCCTCTAAGATGGGAAGGAGGCTTCTCCTTCCCAGAGGTTGCAAACTTGTGATCTGTAGTGTTTTTTTACAAATTAAGTCACCAACATTTGAAGACAGGTTTTGTATAAAAATCTTGGTTTTAGATTCTGGATTCTCTTGAAAGAGAAAATTAGAGCTGTCGATGGCAGGCCTGATACTGGACGGCAGCAGTCAGCTGCCACTGAATAGCACCTCCTCCCTTTGGACGGGGCCTGCAAGCTCTAGTTTGTCAGCCCCGTCCCCACAGGTGTCCACGAGCGGGACGCTGGCGCTGGTCCACCTGCCAGCTGTGCTCCTCTGATACCCACCTGGCTCTCACAGCCATATGCCTTTGGCACCCTCCGCTTTTAGTTTCTTATCCCACTCTGAGGGGAAGGGGTGATGGTGGCTCCCTGTTGCTCTTGGGTGGCTCTTAGTGTTTCTACTTAGATGTGCTGGGACCTCAGCCGCTCAGACTGGTGAGGAAAGTGCACCAGCAGCGTGTGGGATGAGAGCACGGGCGCTTCCCACCTATCATCAAACCTGTGCAGGCCTGGGAGACAGACTGGGTGTGGGGCTGGTGGACAGTGGTGTGGAGAAGGGGTAGTAGGGCCCGAGGGTGGAAGTATAAAGGGTGCTGGGTGTCCTGGCCACTGGAAACAAACGACAGCCAGTGGCTGGAAGGAAAGAAGTCAGGAAACAGCTTTTTGGAGAAAGGGCTGGCACAGCTAAGTAAGGGGTTCTTGGGCTGGTTCCAGGCTGGCCTGCAGACTCAGACAGAAGCTGGACAACACAGCCCAGCAAACATTGCCATGTGCCAGGCTGTGTTCTGTGTCCAGAGCTACCACAGCGAGCAAGACAGATCCAGTCCCTGCCCTTGGTCCAGGTACAAGCCATGGGCAGGCTGGCTGAGGGAGAAAGGGAGCAGTGATCGCAAACGTGAAGGGCCTCAGAGGAAGCAGTTCTTACCTAGATGGCTTGGGAGGGCTCAGCTGAGACGAAGAATGAGAAGGCGCCTATGCCAAGCTGGGAAAGAGCACTCCGGGCAAAGAAACAGCCAGCGCGGAGGCTCTAGGGCAAGAGCATGGCACATTCCAGCTGGAAGCAGGCCAAGCAGCTGAGATGTCACTGGCGGGAACAGCATCCTCGCTGGGATAGATGCCAGAACAAACTTGGCTTTTAGGGCCTGTGGTGAGGAGGATTGATTTTATCTTAGGAACTTTTTAAAAAAAGAGAGAGAGATGGGGTCTCGCAGTGTTGCCCAGGCTAACCTTGAACGCAAGGGATCCTCTCACCTCAGCCTCCTGAGTAGCTGGGACTACAGGCGTGTGCCACCACATTGAGCTAATTTTTTGTATTTTTAGTAAAGACAGGGTTTTATAATGTTGCCCAGGCTGGTCTTGAACCCCTGAGCTCAAGCAATCTGCCCGACCTCCCAAGGTGCTAGGACTATAGGCAGGAGCCACTTGCGTCTGGCCTGGAAGCCTCTTAAAGTGACTCAGCTCTCGGTGCTGGAGCAGTGCTGAAGGGGAAGAACCTGGTTGCCATAACCAAGATGGTCTAGCAATCCAGAGCCGACAGCAGGCCTCTCTCTTAAAATTCATGAAATCCATTGGATTTATCATTCAAATTATTCACTGCAATAGCACCTGGGCCTGTCCTTCTCTGAGGAATAAAGACGCATTAGCTTTAGAGTCAAACAGAACTGCTTTGAGTTCCCCAATTAGCTGTGTGTCCTTATGTACCTTGCTTTACCTCTCTGGGCTGTGGTTTCCCATCATTAAAAATGGGGCTTTATAGGGATTGGAGGAGGCCACACCCACAATATGTACCATAGTGCCTGACACTTAGCATTGAGTCAGTGTTTGCTCTTAGTAGCCTAGATCCTGTTGTCATTATTTCCTGGGTGGTGGTAGCAGGAGCCCAGTCAACAGTTTGTACCAGGCCAGGTGTGGTGGCTCAAACCTGTCATCCCAGCTCTTTGAGAGGCTGAGGTGGGCAGATCACCTGGGGTTGGGAGTTTGAGACCAGCCTGACCAACATGGAGAAACCCTGTTTCTACTAAAAATACAAAATTAGCCAGGTGTGATGGTGGGGGCCCGTAGTCCCAGCTACTTGGGAGGCTGAGGCAGGAGAATGGTTTGAACCCTGGAGGTGGAAGTTGCAGTGAGCTGAGATCGCGCCATTGCACTTCAGTCTGGGCAACAAGAGCAAAACTCCATCTCAAAAAAACAGTTTATACCAGGCCTACATTCACCTATTTAAGTCACTTGACTCCCCAGCTCCCTCATTTCCTCCCCAGCATTTCCTGAGGGGCCTGGGGTCTTAAAGCAGCCTTCTCGAGAGTGCTGCCTTCCCTCCCCGCCCCATCAGTTTCCAGTCCTGCTGACCTGGAGGACTCCTCTGATCTCTAGTTGAATCTAGCAGTGCCGTGCTCTGCCTTCCTCGGGGCTGTTAATAGAGAGCAAGTGAAGTAATGGATGGGAAGCCTCTTTGTGAACTTTAAGTTAATACAAACAGAAGAGATTATCATTAAAAGCGACAAGTCCCCCATTGATTAGAGCATTTCTTTGGGGAGAAAAATAGCACCCATTTTAGGTAGGACCCGGCACCTCTGTGGGGCGAGTGGAGTGTTTCGGGTCCCATGAGCGCCGTGGTTAACGGTACGGAGAATGGGAGTTGTTGCTGTGGTGGTTTTACCCCTATAATTGCATTCATCTCAAAACCCACAAGTAGCAGCAGGTCTCAGTGGTCATTATTTTATTTGAAAAACTAATTGGAAGTTGAGAGAGCCCTTGGCTTTTGCTTTTGTTGGGACAGGCCAAGGAAAGAGATGAGCAGGTGGGTCCGGGAGGAAGGAGGGGTCTGGGGCAGGCCCGGCGTGCCTCCCATTCACAGCCTCCTCCTTTGTGCCTGCCTCTCTGGGTTGAAGTGGGCTGCCAGCTCTCAAAGGGCAGCTTTTCCTCCAAGGGGGCTTTTGTCTCCCATTGTTCTGATCGGCCCCTCAGAGGAGCTGTGACAGTGGCCCCCTGCAGAGGGTTTCCCAGGCTTCACACATTTTTTTTCTCCTCTCCAAGGGAGAGCAGGTGGTCTGTACCCTGGGAGGAATGGAGTTGTTTGTATAGTCAGGTGCTGGGAAACTCGAGACCTGGCTGCCAGGCCCTTGGAGGGGAAGGGTCATCCCTTCCCCAGTGACACTGTCTTAGGCTGCAAAACGGGGTGGGGTGGGGATGAGATTGCTCACCCCATCTATGTTAAGATGCTGTGATTCTACTCTCGTCTTTTTTTTTTTTTTTTTTTTTGAGACAGAGTCTTGCTCTGTCACTCGGGCTGGAGTACAGTGGCACGATCTCGGCTCACAGCAGCCTCTG